GAGATTCAAAAATGAAAAGCTTTAAAGCTCTCTGAAATAATAGAATGTATTCATGTATTTTTTTCATGTAAAGAAAGCTCTTTTTCATGGTAAAATGTTTAGCTTTGTGGTATTTTACTGGAGGATATAAGAAGTCTCTGAAGGGCTTAAAAAATGGATTGAACAGTGTCTTTGAGAAAATGTAATAAGTAAACATTAACAAGTAAAGGGTCTGTTTAATGAATTGGCATTTGTTTTGTGGTATTAGTGAATGTATAAAGTACCATGAAATTCAGCTGCATGTTTTTAGCACTAGTGTAAATTGCAGTCCCTTTTTGGGGATGTGAAAGGACAAAAGGCAGGTTTCGGGGACAGCTGATGCTTTGAGTTTTTTGCCAGTTGCTCAAATACTTGAAAAACCCAACTTGTCTCTTACAATAGGCATGCTCTGCTGTTGTTTGGAAAGATTGTACATTGTGTTTGTCATCTTTCATGTTTGTTACTGTACAGCTGCTTTCTACATGATTTTTTAAAAATCTGACTTGCCAAGGCAATGTCAGATTTCTTGCATGCTGTTTAACAGCTGTTGTCCAGAGGAAGGTGGTCTGACTTGATCCTGTGAGTATTCCTATGACTGCAGGGAAAGAAAAGCAAAAATGCTTTGATTAAGTCTTTCTGTACCACACTTGCCTCTACAGCAATAACTACTGGGATAAGTGCCTTCTAATTTTAAGACAAAAGGCAGTTATGCAAGTAGTTGTTGGGAGGGAGGGGGAGAAAGAAGAAAAAGGGAGGTGAGGATACTGAGAGACTGTAAAATCTGAATTTTAATGGGTTGATCTAAGCTAGTTGAAGCTTCTGATGCCCTTTCCTTTCAGAATGTGTGTGGAAGTAGAGTTGCTGATTCCTGTAGGGTTTGGAGAGCGGTGTCCATTTGTACTCAAGTCAGAGTTCAGTCCAGCTAGATGTCGCATCCAATCTACGTCCAATGAGGCACTCATGGATTTAGTGAGATGTTAAGCGACATTTCACCCTCTTAGTTTTCTTCTTTCTCCTTTTGACTCCTCCCATTTTTATGGTCTGATGCTAATGTCTCATACATTTCAACTGCAGCCAGGTGTATGTATGCAGTATAGCATCTTTCTAGATCCTTCATCTCTTGTGCCAGATGCAGCTGCTGGTTTAAAACCAGCTGTCAGACATGGGTGGCTCTGCACAGGGAGTGGAGTTGGACCTATTTATCCCAGTTGTAAGTCTCTGGCTTCATTGTGTACTTAGCTGGGCAAAAATGTGTAAAAGAAAATAATTATAAACTTATGTTTGGCACCAATCCTCTGAACCGACACAATTTTTGAAAACAATAACTTTTTTGCCTTAGATTTTTCATTTATTTGTGGATGGAAGGTGTGCTGGTTTTGGTTGGGGTTAATTTTCTTCATAGTGGCTAGTAGGGACTCTGTTTTAGATTTGTGCCGAACAGAGGGTTGATAATATATAGCTGAGCAGGGCTTACACAGATCCAAGGCCTTTTCTACTTTTTGTTACTGCCATGCTGCTGAGGAAGTTGGGGGTGTATGGGGAGGTTGGGAGGAGACACAGCTGGGACAGGTGACCCCAGCTGATCAAAGGGGTATTCTGTAGGAGGCGTGTTTTAGGGATTCTGGATGAGGCATCCTGGGAAATGAAGTCCCGAATGTACTCCCAGGCACATGGGCAGTGAGATACCCCATGACGATTGGTCAGGGGAGTCACGTGTTGCTTTGAAGTGCTTATAAAAGGCGTTGTTTGCTTCCAATAAATGGATTTGGTTGATGGACCCCCAACCAGCCGGGTCTGTGTGGGTTTATTATATTAAAAAAGCCATAGTATTCCAGACCAGATGACCTCATGCTCAGTATATAAAGCTAAGGGAAGGAGGAGGAAAGGGGGATGTTTGCAGCGCTGGTGTTTGTCTTCCTAAGTCACCGTTATGCACGATGAGACGCTGCTGTCCTGGAGATGGCTGAACACCTGCCTGACTGTGGGAAGCAGTGAATTAATTCCTTGTTTTGCTTGTGTGTGTGGCTTTTGCTTTCCCTTCATTCCAACCCATGAGTTTTCTATCTTTTTGATTCTCTCCCTGATCCAGCTGGTGGGGGAGTGAGTGAGCGGCTGTGTGGGCCTTGGTTGCTGGCTGGGGTTAAAACATGACAGAAGGGAAGTTACTAACCTCTGTGTTGTAAAATTGAATATAATTTGCTGAGTCCCAATGTGTTTAGTACAGTGACATCACAATGCATATCTTGTCTAGTTATAAACTGTGACTGAATGTGACTCGAAATAGGTGGAAGATGAATGTCGAAGGCAGTGGAATTGCCATTGCAAATTCTTGTTTTCTGCACCTAGTAACACAGTCTCCTCTGCCTGGCTGAGCCTCATGAAGACCCTGTAATTCAGTGTCTTATTTTGTCTTTATTTCTTTTTTTAAACTCTTGTTACATAGGTTTTGAAATAAATTTAGCCTCATTTCTCATGAATTTTTCTTTACAAAAGATTAAGTTCATCAGTTGTATGTGGTGAAGAAAAGGGTGGTAGTGCTTTTTAGCGCAAGGGCACAAGCTTTTTACTTACTGATGGGTTAGTATCTTGAATAGGTCTGTAAGTGCTTGATTCAGATAGGTAAAGATTTTAAATTAGAAGAAACTTATTGCAATTGCAGAGTTTTTTTATTTTTCCTCTGATCAGGAACAGGTAATGGATTGCTTAATTTGTTGCATATATTTACTCATCAGTGCTCAGTTTACTTTGTGGAATTAAACCTCATACTGAAATGAGGTAGCTACATAGTAATTTAAATCATGCATTCAAATATGAAAGTTGTTTATTTCCCGCTACCGTCAGCCCAGCTGTGTGGTTTAGCCTGCTTTGTAAAGAAATGAGATGTCTTGGGTTGGTCTTTCACCTCCCTTGGTAGCTCTTGAACCTACTGGACCATTTTGTAAAGAATTGATGAGAAAACGAAAAGCTCAAACAGTGGTTGCATGTTTTCTTCAAATTAGCTTTTATAGGCAAGGAAGAACACTTGTGGAGAAGGGACTTAAATTAGAGCTCCTGGTGAAAGGCATTCTGGTTGTACTCAGTGTGGTACATGTTTCGAGAGGTAGCAAGCAATTAGCTGGGCACTGTGCAGCCAGCTTCCAACTGGGCCCAGGGTGTCGCGTGGGTTAGTGAGAAAAGGTGGGTGAACTGCAAAAGGTAGGAGTGGGGCTAGCTCTGAGAATGCTAGACAGAAAGCCATGGGGGAAAACAGGCTTTAGTCTGGTGGCCTTGTATAAAAATTGAAGTAAAATGGGTTAAAAAATGAGAGTATGAAAAATGTAGTAAAACATATTCCCAGTAATTCTCTTACAAAACTAAACTCCCACCCCAAACTTAGTAGAATGGTTGCCTTGTTCTCCAGAGTTTTACTGATGAATTGCACATCAATATTAGTTCAAAGAAAGATAATTTTTTGAGATGTCAAATCACCCATCAGTATTTCAGGAATTCTATCGTCCTACTTGTAGGGAGTCTTTTACACCTTTAATTTATATGACGGTGGTGTTCATGTTACAGAGAAAGCAAAAATTTGTAGCTTGTGAGTTGAAATAATCCTGAGATTTGGAATTGGCTGCTTTAGTGCTAATTTATGCTCCTATTAATGTATTTCTTACTAATTATGCTTTATGTGAAATGTAAGAGTGAGGGAATTCCTCCTAGTGATTTTTATTTATTTGCTACAGTGTCCTAGCCTGTTTGTAGTGTGATGCTGCTAGATGTTGCTCTTCGGTAATAGTGACTTCCCAGTTTTGATCTGTTTTTGTTCAAGTTCTGAAATGTGTTTATGTTGGATATTAAGTAGTATTTTAAAATGCATCTGTTTGTAGAGGAATACAAAATCACAAAAGAGAAAGATATTTTTTTTTTTTTGTCACATATAAAATTGTTCCTCCCTTACCTCTGATGTATTGTTTAAAATTTAGCAAACTCAGCTGGCCTTAAAATTCTGATGTACTCAAATAAACTGTCTCATATCAAGAGATGTAAAATATAATTCAACACTACTGCTTAGAAGTCATGACCTTTTTCCTTCCTGACCTGTTATGAAATAGTCTTACACTTAAATAATTTGCTTTTTGTTCATTGAAGTTATTAAGCTTTTAGAAATGTTTTTGAGAATAAGATATTTTAAACCTTTGGGGTGAAGTCATTACAAAAATTACTATGCAACATTTGAAAAGCAAGAAGATCTTTTTAATTTAGTAATGTGATTTTAATTAGAGAAATTGAAGCGCTACTTTAGTTGCTTTAGTTCAGTAAAAAAGAAATTTTCAATTAAGTCTTTTCCAAATGACCTTATGTCCTTGGTAACACTGTAACTTCTCATTCCATAAAATTTTGGTGCCACATGGTCTTTAAACAGAATATTATTCATAGGAAGTACATGGAACATTGAGTTGCTGGTGTTAAAAAAAAAAAAAGTAGTCAAATTGACTCATAATTGTGTTAATGTCATTTTAAAGAAAACTGGTTTAGACATTTTTGTAGCATATGCTTCCCTTTTTGGGGAATTCTGTCCCGCTTGGGCATCCTTGCTCTCAAAGCTGCTCTCTGCAGGATAATGTTTTCTGTGCCATTGTGCCCTTTTGTGATGCTTTCATATCTCTTTTTGTACTTGTCTTCCAAATCCTAGTCTTTTTTTTTCCAAGAAAGTTCTGACAACCTTAGTTATCTAGCATATATGTCTTTCTGCATCTGGCATGTTCCCAAAAACTGTTCAGTGTGCCCATGCCCCAGAGTGTCATTCAGCACCACCTGTGGAAAACCAGCTTCTTCCTTGTGTTGCAGCTTCTTCCTTGTTCTCACTCAGCCTAATTTTGAGAGGCACTTGCCTTTATGTGTCAGATGAATTTATAATTTTTACTGAACGCTGTCTGAACGGGAATGGGTCAGGGTCTGACGTAGTCAGGGGGCTGTAATGCACAGTCAGTCTGTTGGTGGCCAGCTTGCCCAGGCAGCAAGCCAGCTTGCTCCAGACAGTGATCTTTCCTGCCACTCCTGTGGGGACTGCCAGTTTTTTATAAATGCAAATGTGCCCTGAAGTCCAGTAATTTTTGTACTGCAGCACAAGTCTGTGGGTACAGTAAATCTTATACCAAGTCTAAGGCAAAAAACATAGATTATCCATATGGCCTGTATCCTCTGCTGATCTGCAGTGCTCTTGTCATGTTCTGGCTTGAGTGCACAACTCCAGTGCCTTGGTAGGAATTCCATAGGAAGGCTGAGGCAAGTGCATTAGAAGAAGAAAGGTGAGTATTTTTTGTAGAAAAAGCCTGAATGTGTGCTACATTGATTCATAGCTCTTAATTTCATTTTTGTAAATATCATACATATTTGTTTGTAAATTCCAGGTTGTGAGCCATGCCTTTGGTGAAAAGGAACATTGAACCGCGGCATCTCTGCCGAGGAGCTCTGCCAGAGGGAATTACAAGTGAACTGGAATGCGTAACAAATAGTACCCTTGCTGCTATCATACGCCAGCTAAGCAGCTTAAGTAAGTATCTGTAACTTCCTGCAAGTATTTGATTCCTGATGAAAAACTGAAGAGATGAGAGGCTTTAAGATGGCTTGTTTTAAATAGAAAAATTGCAATACAGGATATTACCACTAATGTATTGTGATAATATTCTATTTCATTGCTTTTATGTTATTATATATTTTGAAGTTTATTAAAGAAGAGAAAAACCCAACCCTCTCCTCCAGAACAACGTTCCAAAAACCAAACAAGCGAAAAACCACCATGGGGGAGGAGGTAACCAAAACAAACCCAAACCAACAAAAACCTACAGCATAGAAAATCAGAAATTTTTCTAAGCCGAGAGAAATTAGTGCGAAAAACAAGACTAGCACTTGAGTTATTCTTGCCTCTTGATTCTGAAAGATGAAACCAGCAAACGCTTCTGCTTCTTGGCATTAAATGACACATTTGACTGAAATTTTAGTTTTTCTTAATGTGCTTATATTTCTTAAGCCTTCTCTTTTATATATGTGTCTGGTGAATTCATATGAATGAAATTAAACACATTGAAAAAATGGCATTTGCTGAACAAGCCCGTAGGCTCCTGTTGAGGCAAGCTAGCATCAGCTCCATACAGAGGAGCCTACACACTACACCTGTCAGGTGACACCAGCACTAGCAATTCTAGAAGCATGACTGGAGTGCTTGCAGGATGAACAATATTTTTGATGAAAGAGAGAAGAGATTTTTTTTTTTAGAGTGTGTTTAACAATCAGCAGCTGTTGTTTGTGCTAATAACTCTGGTTCTTGAAAAGAAATTACTGCTTCATCAGTTGCTTCGGTTTGTAAATGGAAGTGGTTTAAGAATATAAGAGTCTGCATGGAGCTTAGACTATGGGTGCCACTAAGTCTGGTGTTCAGTTTATGAGGATAGGAAAAAGCCTACGCTTAGGGAAAGAGAACAAGAAACACAGCATTTCCTGTTTCCAGTAGTCAGTGATTTAGGGATTTTTCTGAGCTGGAGGTCCATCTGAATCATCCTATGTAACAAGGATTTGTAAAAGTATCATCTGTGCCATTACTTAGAGTTGTTGAAATAGGGATTGCGCTTTTTTTCTTGTCTGATGACGTGTGACAGAATGTCCCACAGTAGAAGTTGATCTCTTTCTTTTGATGCCTTCTTACTCTGGTAAAATGAAAAATAATGAAAGGTGATTTCATCTTGTGTATTTCCATAAAAAATTGTGATTTTATTAATTCTTTATCGTGTTCTACTAGTGATAGCCTTTCGAGGTTGGAGTGTCCTGATCTGTTAGTACTCTTTTTGAATAGAAACTATTTTATATTGCTGATCATTGTTATTTCTGCTTTGGATATGTAAGTTAGGCTATGTTGTGGGTTTTTTAAGGTGGAGTGTTGAAGACTTCAGATCATATTCAAAACAGACTTTTTCTGTTTTATCATGATTTCCCTAAGAATTTATACAATTTTGATTGTTGCTAAACATTGTTATTTTCAGAGGAGTTTCCAAGTGATTCCTTGATCTTTCTTGAGCAGTAGCTGCCAATTTAGTGGCTAATGTTATTTATGGTTAATTTGTGTTTGCATTGTCATTGTTTCATTTACTGTTTTCTTAGGCAGTTTCTTGGTGTTGACATCCCTACGTTTCAGAAAAGTGAGAAGAATGGCTACTGCTCTTAATTACATTAAAGGATACCTGATAAGACCTCATTTTGGTACTGCACAATGATTGCCCAAGTGTGGATAATACACTTGTCTGACTTGCTAGGAATGTCTAGCTTTCATTTATCCAGATTTGATTTTGGGGCTCATGTGTCTGTTACATTGTGTGTTCAGATCCTCTTATGATTGTTGCTGAGGAACTGGCTACTTATATCCGTATTCTGAAATTTTCCCTTACTGGATCTTTCGGGTCATCAGCAGTGTTTGTAGGTAGCCCCTAAAGTTCTATTAATGTTGAGTTAAAGATCTATGCATATAAATTATATGTCCTTTGTTTTAATAGATGAGTACATGGTATTTAATGAGTGAAAAGTACCACCAGCCTCATCCACAGTCTAAAATCTGTCATGTTTGCAGTTTTTTCTGCAGGCAGTGTTTGTTTTGCCTGTGTTTCAGGCCAAGTGGGAGCAAGGAAATGATCATAGAAAAAAGCTGTGCTGGAGCTGAAGCAGTATGTCCTGCTGACAGCATCAGAGCTTGTTGGTGTTCCCACAGCTTGAGGCATAGAGAGAGCAAGTACAGGTCTATCTCACAGTCACACTGTTTTTTTTAATGTTGCACTGTGAGTTCAGTGTGGATTTTAAAAACTGGCAGGTCTGTGCTGTTGCATACAAATTTGGCTTACTTCTGCCTTTGCTCTTTTCAGGAGACATGAACAAGTTCCTATCCAATGGGAATGTGCTCTCAGGAGAGCTTTTTTTCTATTATGTTTTCAGATTAGGGTTCATTTCCAGCCAGCTGGCTTGGAGCACAGACAGAGTGAGCAGCATTCTGTATGAAACTGTGCACTTTCGTATAAGGCAAAATGTTGTCTGGGGACTCACCTCCACTTGGGAGGAGAGAATCTACTGCTATAGGGAGGACTGGGAGCATTTGCAGCCTGTACCTGTAAGTACTGTGATGCTTTACCTGCTAAACATAATCACGGAGCAAAGACTTGAACGCTTCCACAAAATACTCCCATGCTTTTGGCAGTGGAGTTTGGTCTGATGACTGCAAGACTTCAGCCAGTGAAAAGGCTGCTTTCTGCAACAGGATCTCTTGCAGGATGATTTTGTTCCCGAGTTTTACGTATGTGTATATATGGGGAAGAAATAATAAATAGCATCTGATTGTTGTTGAAGATTAAATATTAAAAACTGTATGTCCTCCTTCATTGAACTTATCTTAACTAGAGTGCAGTCTGTACATTAACAATACTACTGTGTTTCAAGTTGCATTACCACTTGAAATAATTCCTTTCTGTGAGTCTTGAAATATTTTGTATTTTTCATGTTTCTGGCTTCTCGGGTCATTCAGATGGTACCTGTCAGGTTGAAATCTTACCTACATGGATATAAAGCATCTGAACATAGGTACAGAGCTACTTTCTTTGACCCATGTGCAAGTGATACCAAACGGTTTTTGCTGTACAACATAAAATGGAGGAAGTGTCATCTGCAGAGACTTGGAAGACTTTTTCTTTCACTCAGAGAACAATATCCACCAGCTTGCCTCCTACTATTTTCTTGGGCAGATTGGCCATTGGCTCAGAGTTTCATTGGTTTTCATGCAGGCCTGAGCACACTGCATCCAGCTTTGTGTCACTCTGCTCTTTACTACTGCTGAATCAGGCTGGATTGGAAAGTTAGCTTTTTTGCCATTTAGTGTCATGCTTAGAGGTACTGTGAGAAAGCAAATGAGAATCAAGACCTAGTCAGTAACAGCCTACCACTTTTGCTTATTTAAAAAAAGGAGAGGGGGAAAGCATGAGTCTAATGTTTCTGATTAATCCAGTTACAAATGGGTGGGTGGAATCACTGTCTTCTGCTCCATATTGTGATAAAATGAGCATATCCTGGATGAATTCCAGTTTGTGGAACAGCACATAGTTCTATGGGACATTTCAGTCCTTACCTAGGACCCTGAGGAGAGCAGTAGTGCAGTGCTGACTCCTTTTCGAGCAGCCTTAGTGTCATCTTTATTCCAGTGTCTGACAGAATCAGTTAGGCTGGAAAAAACCTTTGAGATCGAGTCCAGCCTGTGACCAAACACTGCCGTGTCAACTAGACCATGGCACTAAGTGCCACATCCAGTCTTTCCTTAAATGCCTCCAGACACCAGAATGCCAAGTGAAATTACCTTCTTGCTTTCATAATGCATGTTCATGGCATGAAAAATGGTAACCTTTCTAATGCACTCCAAGTCTTTCTCTTGAGTGTGTTGTCCCCAGTAATTGTGTTGTGGAGCAAGGAATGCAAAGGAAAGCTGTACTTTTCAGACTCAAATTATGTGAATGGAAACTAAGTAGAGTAATAAACACATTGGGTTTCCAGTTTTCAGACAAGCCAGCATCATTGTTGAATTCCTTTTATGGTACAGCACTGAGCATTTTGACTGTTGACAAAAGATACCTTTGGGGCAATGTGTTCAATGTGTTACTGCACACTTTTTTTATGCAGTATTTGAAAATTAGTTGTAATTCAGGTGATGTTTAGTCTCTGCTAGAGATGTTATATACTGGTGTGGCAAGATGATATTTCATGTAATTACTGTAGAACTTGAATAGAGAGTATTATTTAAATTATTTGTGAAATACTGATCTGCAGAAATATCTCATAAAGCTTGGAAATTTATTTTGTGAGCAATGAAATATACAACTCTATGAAGACAACCTGTGAAAGTGCTAGAAAGAGGTACTTTGGTTAATTTACATTAAAAACTATGGAAAACAGGGATTTGCTGAGGCAGAATCATGACTAAATTTTCCTGAAACTACTTCAGTGGCTGGAGGGAGTCTTAGAAAGAAAGAGTGCATAATTTCTTTGGTGAATTTTTAAATTATTATATACTTAATGTTTTTAAACCACTGTCTTGTAGTACAAAAATCAACTCTTAAGTTAAGATACATGATTCTATTTCAGATAGGTTGGAGTTTTTTCCTGCTTGTTTCTGTTTTGTTAAAAATCTAATTTAAAAGATGGTAACATAAAGTAATACTTCTCAAGTGTTTTTTATTTCTAAAATTTACTGCATCATGATAATCAGGACAGCATGTCTAATATTGCTTTACCATGTCACTGTTTTCACAGGTTGACAAGGTGTCTTTCACATGTTTTAGGGTAACAAGTGTCAAAAAAAAATTAAATATTAACTGAAGTATGTTCCTACTTTGGTTTCTGAAAAAGAACTTATAAGCACCCATCTCCTTGACTTCTCTAGAGGTGATGTGTTTAATCCTACAATGCAGCAGTCCTCCCTCAGCAGGCTGATTTCAATATATTAACATAAACTAACATCCATTAAAATTGATTGAGCTCTGAATACTGGTGGCTGAAGAATGTAATAACTGCTTTATTTAGCTGAAGAGTTGAAAAGCTTATTTGTTCCATAGCTTGGAATAACATCTTCATTTGGAGCAACTAAATCAAATGGGAATTATAATTGAATCTCAACTGGCTGCTGGGAAGCACTTAGAGAACACTTTTAGTGTGCAGGTGGTTGAACACTGCCATAGGTAGTCCAGAGGAGTTGTGGAGCCTCTGTTCTTAGAAGTGTTCCAAACCCTGCTGGTCAGAGTCCTGGGCAACCTGCTCTGTCCAGTCGTGCTTTGAGCAGGGAAATGGGCTAGAAGATTTTCAACTTCAGCTATGCTGTGGTTGTGTGACCTCTGTTTTGGAGGGGGAGGAGGTTAGGAACGCGTAGACAGCACACCTGTCTATCCACCTTCCACTGGCACAGGAAGCAGAGTTTGGATACACCAGAATACCTAATGTTTTGGGTTAGTTATTGGCTGATTTTACGTTTAGTGAAGAAATCTATTCCTGGTGAAGCCCTTCATTTGAAGGCAATCACATTAATTTTTTTTTCTGTAATTCACAAACAGCATTTTTGAACTTGTTTTAGTGTAGTTGTCATTCCCTTCCCCCCAAGGGGGAGAATGATCCAAGAAAGGGGCAGATCCTCTCGTATTCCTAAGTGTGACTATATTTTTTTTTTCCAATGATGTTCACAGGATGGGATCTTAATTGAAATTTTCATTATATTTGTACTTTTCTTTATGAAGTATTAAAGTTGGTTATAGGACCCAACTTAAAATGTCAATAATTGCTGTTCTTTTGGAAGCCACTGTCATTTAGCTGGTTAATACATATTCCATGTTGTTCCAAATATTAGACAAGGTTTCACTTTCCCACTCCCTTCCATTTCTGCTCTCTGGACTCTTCTTGATGCAGGTCATAATTAATTCAGATGTAGGGTTTTAAAATGTATTTTTATTTAAAAAGCATGGTTAAATGCAAGAGGCAGGATTTTCCTTTCTGCAAGGAGAACTGATGGAGTGGAGATGTCTTGAGGGGTTTTGGCTACAGAAATTGTAGAGGGGGGATCTTAAAGGGAAGCAGCAGTATCTTGTAGGAGGGACTGTAGTTCAGTGAGGGCAATAAATTTAGGTGGAAACCGGAATTTGTAGGGTAAATTCTGGGGCAGGAGGTATTAAATTGGGGATCCGGAACCACTGATCCAGAATGGTGGAGAACTTTGGGTAGGGGCATGAAGACAATCAAACTGTAGATGAGGATGCCTAGTACTTTGGGAGGTCTAGGAAAGGAATGGGCATGCACAACGATCTGTGGACCAAGGAGCATTGGGCTTGTCATAAGGCACCTCCTGTCCACTGTAGCACTTTTAGGTTAAGGCCTGAAGCTGCAGATTTGGACTGGACTATCCACTCTCATAGTGATGAAGAGCATACAGCACCTGAAAGGGAGGACAAAAAGGTTGTAAACTCCACTTTTGTGGTGCATAAATTCCATTGTGGCCATAGGTGAATGTCAGTGCCATCTTTCTATCTCAAGTGACTCCTGGGACAGCAACATGTATGCAGTGAGCATTTGTAGAGGTAAGTGGGCTGCCCTGCAGGAGGATCCTGGGTTTTATCTGTTTTTGCTCAGCCTTCATTTTGATGTTGGCTTGTGCTTATAATTAAATCTTAATGACTATGGATTGCAAGATTTTAATTTCAAAATTTACTTCAGAAGCTTTTATGGACAGCAGTAAGTTTGGGCCTTTTCATCACAAAGGCAGGTTTTAATGATCAGTTTTCTGACAATTGGCAGAATCCTGCAGAAGGATTAAAATTTGTAAGTTTCTCTTTTTTTTTTTTTTAAGTAGAAGACTAAGCAGGGTGTCCAGGAGAATAGACTTCAGGCAGCATTTATAGTGTATTTTGAAATTTTTGTATAAATCTGTTGGCCAAAATTTTGCTGTATGACAAACTGTGCTGTTATAGTCCTATAGCTACTTTCTATTATAACGTCATGATATTGAAGCCTTTTGTCTTGTGTTTTGTAAGCCACTAGCAAAGGGATTTCCCTGTCTGTTTTCTTATGCAGGCAAACATGCTGAAGACATATTTGGTGAATTGTTTAATGAGGCCAACAGCTTTTACATCAGAGCAAATTCCCTTCAAGACAGAATTGATCGCCTTGCTGTCAAAGTTACCCAGCTGGATTCAACGGTAGAAGAGGGTAGGTAATTGCATGAAAGCATTGAGCCAGAAGTGATGTTGACAAGACCACAGTATTTAATTACACAACTATCTCTGTCTTTTCAAAGTAATCCTGTACCAATATTTTGTCTTGTTGTCTCAGTAAAGCAAACTGGGAAAAATCATGTTAGCAGAGCAAGAAGAAGTATTCTTGAGTCTTGTAACCGCTGTCATTAGTGTTACTTCAATAAGCCCCTGTAGTAATAGAGCCACTAAGTTGCCTTTTTCACAGGGAAAACTTTTAGTTTGTAAGTATAGTAAATCCAAAATGAGTAAATCTAGTCCTTACTGGAAATAAGTCAGAATATTGGAAAAAGTTTGAGACAGTAGATCTGTTTATTTCAGGGTGGGGTAGTCACAAACTACATTAATAGTATCTGTTCTGTGGCCATCTAAGATCTCATAATACTCTTTATCTAAATAAGGCAGTGTGTTTGCATCAACTAGGTGAAATTCTCCAATGGGTTCTAGTCACTAGAAATAGTATTTCCTTTAAAAAATTGTAATAGCTGCACTCACATGTTTTGTCATTCACTTCATAAATACACAGTGAAAACAAAGGATTTAAGTAAAATTATATTGTTTGAAATCACTTATTTGGGCAGGTAAAACATGTTTCTCTGTCTAGCTCTAAAAGCTGGAACGTACATCTTTGCTTTCATGCTTCATGTCTGAGCCAGTCAGACACGTCATGTGTTCCCTGTTAGAAGATTCCTGACATTTAGTAAAAATGTACAAGCTTGTTACATCAGGATGATAGTGCAATATTTACTCAGTAGCAGTTAATGCCACTTGTCATATATTTAATAGTACTATTTATATGGTTTATATATGGTCCTTGCCATTTATATTTGTGTAGTTTATATATTTAATACTAATGTTAGTGATAATAATAAATCTTATAGTTGGTATTTACTAATGTAATATTTAGTCTTCCATTTTAACTTGTTACTGTCTGAAAATTATTACATGTCTGAGCATTTTATCTGATTTTGGAACATATTAACTGTTAGAGTATCACAGTTGATCACAGATGCCCAGAGACATTATGGATTCCCAGTCCCTGGAAATGTTCAAGGGCAGGTTGGATGGAACTTTGAGCAACCTGGTCCAGTGAAAGGTGTGCCTGCCCATGGCAGTGGGGTTGGAACTAGATCATCTTTAATGTCCCTTCCAACCCAAACCACTCTGTGATTCTTTGATACAAGCACCTTTATTTTAGGTGTCAACAGCTAGAGAGGAACATTAAGTTATTATGGAATCACTATTCAGCTTAGTTTTAAAGGCATGTTGTGATGGTAATATGAGCAAACTAGATGATATTTATATACTGTAATTGTTCTGTGCTGAGGTGGATGGTGTCAGTCTTCATGACTTTTAAGTCTACCATTTTTTGGAAACTCAGTCCTCACCAGAGGTTGTTTTTGCTCTTATTTCTTTTTTTAAATGTCTCATTTGTGTTATGCAATACCGTCTGGCTAGTTTCCAGAGTTTGGAGAATAATTAAAAGCAATCAATTGGAAGGGGAGACTAGTGGATGGACTACGAATTTAATCAGTGTTTATTTTAAATTGACAACAGTTATTACTCTTGCATTGCTAATCATGTTTCAGATTAATAAGCTACATATACAAACTGCTGTCACTTTAACGTCAGTAGTAAATTTTATTAGCTATTTTGTAGAAGTTGAAGTCTATAACAATTCATTGCACTGTCACTAATACTCAATATATTTCTTGATAGCTTAGGCATTTAAATAAAATGTCAATTGCTAGATTTAGGTGCGTCAGTGATGTCTTACATTCTTAGCTATAACTAACAAGGCATATATAAAAATAGAATATATATAATATTACAGTTGAAAAAAAAAAAAGTAATTGAGGTTACGTTTTCAAAAGCATATGAATAACTTAGGCTAAAAAGCCCCAGAAGAAGGGGATTTTTACTCTCTTGAATGTCTTCCTCTAAACAAGAATATACCAATTCAGATACATACATCTGAAAAAACTGCCTGAAATACCTTACCTTGTACTTATAGGCAGGTTTAAATAGAAAGTACTTTCAGAAATCGTTTTGATACTTTAGATGATGTGGATGGGGGAACAACTATTTGAAATGAAATATTCTGTTTTTAATTTTTTGCTATTGTAAAAGTTATGAAACAATCTAAGTGGTCTCAGAGTGAGAAGCAAGACCTCAGCACAGACATCAAAAATAGTTGAGTAGAGAAGTCTGAGTGGGACTTGGTTTCCATCATGGCAAAGGATAAAAGTGTCAGGCTTCATGCCTCACTGGTTTTTCAAGTCATCAGTATACTAAATTTTTGGCCAATACTGTTCAATTACCATGTGAAATTTCTCACAATTTGTTCTTGAGACGCGATAAATTAGATGAATGGGCAAGAACTATCAGATGAAATGACAATAAAAATAGAAGAAGCCAGTGCATTTTGTTTGCACTACTGCTACAGCTTACACTCTTAGAAAACAGTTGCCTCAATTCAAGAAGTGGTTAATGCTGTTGTAGACAACTCAGTGAAGACTTCAGCATTCTGTTCAACTGCAGTCAAAAACCTGTATTTCAAGTTGCTTAAAAGTGGAGGATGATGTGGAGAGCTTACTGCCACTCTTAAATTGTGATTAGCATTAACTGGATCTTTTTAGCAATGGTCGCTTTATCTCATGGAAACTTGTATTCAGAGTGAAAGAAAGCCTTGCTAAAAATGACAGGAACAGTTAAAAGCAACTGAAATCTTTCACTTGAAAAGAAAGGATGAAAAGGCTAATATTGTTTTCCCCAGAACTGTGTATGTGAAAAGATTAAATGGAAGTATGTAACTGGACTGTACAAAGAACATAATATTTCTCTCCACAGAGACGTGAGAAAAACTTACAATCAAGGAGTGTTCAATTATATGGAAAAACTTTGGAGCTGAAGGATGGTTAGAGAGGTGGAACTCTTTCTCACAGGAAGTTGTTCCACTCATAATTTAATCATATGTAGAATGGGGTTGAATGTTTATGGATACCATGTGTAATTATAAAACATGCTGTGTCAGAGGAATACCAGACCTTGCATTTAATGTGACAGCATTCTTGCATCATATTCCAAGACACAGTCCATGGTCCCATTATTTTAAGTGAGGTTCTGGACCAAGTGGGACTTAAATCTGTTTTATTATGGCAGTTCTTACATGCCTTTAAGCTTAAATATCATGATTATCCACTAAAGAAAAATATCCTAAATTTTGCAGAAAATATTTTATATAGGTTCTGAGAAATGGATGCTTTTTTATCCACTTCTGTTCATTTCAGACCTGTGGTAAATGTAATTTTTTTTCTAACAGTATCCTTACAGGATATCAACATGAAAAAAGCATTCAAGAGCTCAACAATTCAAGATCAGCAGGTAGTTTCAAAGAACAGCATTCCAAACCCAGTGGCTGATATTTATAATCAGAGTGACAAACCACCACCTCTGAATATTCTTTCACCTTATAGGTAAGGAAATAGTCATTGATTACGTTCTTGTACTTTGCCCTTCATCTCCTACTTGTCTGCAGAGAATAATTACAGCAGAAGGGAGATGCTGTATTGATTATGGAGATCTGATTTTTCAGGGACTTTCCTGTTTATGGAAACAAAAATTGCTATTGCCACACTTAAAATCATAAGTTGTACCTAACAACAATCATCATATTTCAACATAAATCTTACATGGCAGCACAGGATCAGAGAGCAGGGGCCACTGATTATATAGAAAGTGAAAATAAAATAAATAATATACTGAACTGATTTCTTTGGTGGCTTTATCCAGAAAGCTGTTGCTTTTGCCTTCCCACTGTTGTACACACACAGTCTGTACCTTTTCCTGGTTACTTACTGGTGAGTAGAAGAGCAACAAGTAGGACTACATTTGCTTTTTTCTTTTCCTGTTTCCTTTAAATTTATTGTTGTTCATGAAATGAGTGCAGTTTGTCTGCCTGAAGGGTTGTGGACAATGGGGTTTTACTGTGTTCTTCAGTTTTTGAGAGGTATTTACGTTGTGAGGTGTCTGTATAAAACAGGCACTCAATCTGCTGTAAATTATTTGAATTTTTTTTAAGACTGATATATCAGAGCATTTGCAGTGTGTTTCATTTTTAAGAGCTTTTAATTGGAAGGTAAATTTGTTGGATCTATAATTGAAGGATGTAGTTTCTGCCACTCTTACAGATGATGGTGGTATTTGTTTATAGGCATCCAGTTAGTAAGAGTTGTTATTGATCAGCTGGAAGCTTGGATGACTGTCAAAGAAAAGTTTTGTGGGTTTAAAACATACTAATTCATGTATTCTTAGCTTTTCTTCTGCTGTGTTTCCAGGGATGATAAGAAAGATGGATTGAAGTTTTATACTGATCCTTCCTATTTTTTTGATCTTTGGAAAGAAAAAATGTTACAGGATACTGAAGATAAGCGAAAAGAAAAGAGGAGACAAAAGGTAAAAGCAGGAACATAATAGCACATGTATGCATTGCAATTTTTTGTATGGCTGTCCAGGCATAACAATTTCCAGGTCATACTTAGTTTCTGTGTATGGAAAGACTATCCTGTATGTGTGGCTGTAGATTCACTTGGTTCCATTATTATAGCTTACACTCTTTATTTTAAGAAGGCAGCAAATTGAATTTTAGGAGTACTGTGGTTATTGAGTCTTTTTCCAGTATCTACTTATTAGTACTAAGCAAAATGGCCCTGTTGTGCTTCAGAAAAAGACACTATGATGGGAGGGAGAAGGAATTTGAATTGTAGTTTCCTTTATTTTCACAGTTCCTTATCTAGCAGCATCAACTCCGGTAGCAAAACAAGAGCTTATCAAGAAATAAATAATTTTGTTGTTAGTAAGATGATAATATGCAGCGAAATTATTCTGTGGTTCAGCAGCAAGAGGAGATTAATTTTAGGTGTAGTATTCTTTTTTTCCTCTAAGTTTGAAAACCAGCAAAAAAGAAGCTTTTTTATAGAAAAGATTCTGATGCTATCAAGATTTTCTTAATAGATTTTAGTTGTGAATGGAGAAATGAGTTGCTATTCCTGCAGCTTCTTTGTGGTCAGTATTTCTATCAAACTGGAGGGCTTTAAGGTTTTTGAAGATAATTCTGGGGAGGAAAAAAGTGAAAAAGGAAAGTTTGAAGCAACGGCTATTGCTTACGTTACCTGGCAGAAGGTGCTTTTATAAATAGGTTCAATGAGAGATGAGGGATTTAAAATAAAAGGAATGTGAACAAGATATGCTGAGTGCTCAGAGGAAACAGAAGGAAGCCACTCAGTTTTCAGTACATGTGTGCATATATCCACATACATGTGTATATGTGCATATGCATCATCCATCTTAGCATACCTATCTCTACATGTCTGTATGTAAGCAGGTATCATTATATGTGTATAATCATGTATAATACATGTGTGTACAGAATGTCTAGTACATGAATATGCATGCTAATGTATATTTGTATATATACATCACACACGTAATACAACTGTGTGTATATATATGCCAGTGTATATGGTACCTGCTTAGAAATAAAATTGTAGGGCGTGACTGGGAAGCTTTGCTATTCCATTAGAATAAATTCTATTAATTCCTTCTTCCTTTTGCTGGACAAAACTTTCTCACTACAGAATTTTTAAACAAAACCTGAAGACTTGGTTTAACTAAAAGATTTAGTGAATTCATGGCTTTAAAAATCCTGGAAGAAATAAATCAAGTCTCCCTGTTATGAATATGACTCAAAACATTTTATGTTTTGGCAGGTGTCCCAGTATTGAAATATTGCGTAGAATTGAAAAAGCTGGGTAGGCATCTTCAATAGTTATATATAGCAAAGTATTAGAAAATATTCAGTTGGTTATTTTTGTGGTTGTATAGAAATGCAATTTCTATACAATGCAAGATTATATTCCCACTATATTCTCAGTATGATTAGTCATAGAGCTGATTGAAAGACTGGAATTAATTAAAGCAGCTCTCATTCTGTAGTTTAGTTGGTGTTTTTTTTAGATTTCATTCAGTATTTCTTTATGAAAAATATATAGAGATAACAGCAGCCTTTCCTCCTGCCTTTTTCCCTCAAGTTTAGATATTTTCACTAGGGAGGGGAAGAGAAAGAAAGTATCAACTGCTAGCTTTTTCATTCTGATTTACTGTTAAAAAGGAAAAAATACAAATGCTTTTGTAAAAAATTATAGTATTGCTTGATTTTTTTTTTTTATTCCTTTAGAGAGATTTCTACAAAACTATATTTATAAATTTACTCTTAGACTTTATCTAAGGCAACACATCCCACTTATCTCTATCCATGGTATATCTTTTTTTGTAGATTTTAATTGTCCTATTACAATCTACAAACCAAATGTAAATGTGCTCAATTCCAGTTGTGTAGGATTATAGCCATACATCACAGAAAGAAGCCTTGATAAATTCTAGCTGAAGTGTGTTTGATTTGATTAAATATATAACAAATCTGACAAAGAAGAAAGCAGCATAGATTTGAATTTGCATGGATGGCATTTACTTCCTGATAGGCAGAAATCTCAGTTCTGGCTTTCCAGAAGCTGCTGTGCAAAGGAACATTTCATCGTCTGCACTCTGTAGAGAGCTAGAGGGTTTTGGTGAGATGTCTCACAGGCACACTTTGTTCCACAGGTCGCTGAATCAGCTGTCCTTTTTCTTTTGTTCTTGTTCTTATGATAGCAGTGACCAGGAATGAATCCAGAGGATTTATTAATAATCTGGTGGCTGAACTTGTATTTTGAATCTGTTAAGTGAGAATTCTTTACTCAATTCATGCTCCACAGAAGCACAAAATTTGAAAGTTGTTGAGAAACTGTGCAGGTGAAATAAATATATATTGTTTAGCAAATTACAAGCTAGACATCCAAATGCCATCCTACTCAGCTGACCGAATGTAGCTGGTTTTTAGCCTCAATTTTTCAGGTGCTCGGTGAAGTCTGAGAGTAGTCCTTGCACCAAAGAATCAGTTTTCCAATATTATATTGGTAATTTGCTTTAATTACTTGAGCTGTTGCAGCCAGAGGTTCGTGAAGAGTTTAATTTTCCTGCCTTCAAATATCATGTTATTGTTTCTGTACTCAGTTTAATTGAAAAAATCTAAGAGGCTTCCTCTGATTTGGCTCCTTCAGGTGAAATTTTTTCTCTGAAAAAAACTGTAATTTAAGTTCTTTAAGTTTAAAATATGTCTAGGCTGGTCTTTTATGTTTGGTAGTTCTGTGGCTAAGACTTCAATGTAGTTTTGACTTTTGTATGTATCAATAATGTTCGGAGTTGAATGACTGTATTAGGGGCCAGTTGTTTACTCTTGATTTACCAAAGGAAAGCTGTATTAATTTGCTTTTTATTGTTCCCCATTTTTTTTTCTGAGACTAATTAGCTATTTAAACAAGTAAAAACCTTTAAATTTTGAAGGCTTGTATTTCAGAAATTGTTCTTGGTTACTTGTGTTTTGATAGGCTCTTATAAATTTGCGGTCAGGAAAATACTCTGTGCTTGTGCTTCCAGTTTTTTGAAAGTATTGCAAATACTTGCTGAAGGTACTTTCTGTTACTAGCTCCAATTCTTTATTTAGATGCTTGAAATATCACTTGCTAATTCTTGATGCAAATATCAAACTTTAAAATTAACTCAACAGTGTTTGAAGGCTCTAATATGCTTGTGTTTGCTGAAATAATTTCCTGCCATCAGCTGAATGATGTACTTCTTTTCTGGCTTAACCTACAGCACCCACTTGTCTGCCACAGCTTCTGTTTAAAGGAAGTAACTCTTCTTAATATAACTTAACTTTCCTAATAAATATTTCTGACTGTAGTTATGCTGAAAGGCTTCAGCTCCCCTAGAACTCTGTTGTCATTGCCCTGGGTACTAAAACTAGAGCTGTCCCCATTGTTTGTCACGGTAATGAAACTGCTACTGGAACAACTTAATACTACTGTTAGAGGTATATGTAGCTTTGTCAGCTGCTAGGAATAGGCCTGCCCCACTGTTTTGTAAGAAATTAAAATGTTTGAGATGTATTTATATAATATTTAATCCAAAAATCAATACCAGTAGCGTTTAGTACTGCTTTAGAAAAAAGTATTCCAGCATATTTATTCATTAGCACACCTACAGATGCTGGTCTGGAACAACCTATTCAACTCAAATCTGATCCAATAAAAACAAACTAAGCTTTGTGTTTATTTTATGTTGTTTACAATGCATATATATTTACCTTTTCATTAAAAAAAACCAGTGATCTCTATTTAAAGCCAAACTTTTAAATAGGCAATTATGTGTAAGCAGTCATGCAAGCATTCCTGATGGTACAGTAATTGTGTCAAAATTGTCTTCTGAGTAGCATCATAGATGGGTCAAAAGGTGGATATATACTTTGCAAGAAATACGTAGCTGTCACCCTTAGGTAAAGTTATTGTTCTGTAAGAAGAGAAAAACTAAGTGGTTTTGGTGAACCAAAAGACTTACTTGTACTTTCCTCTCAAATCTGGTGTGATTTAGTAAAAAATCTTAATAAATTAATCAGGATGAAACTCACAAATTAAAAAAAAAATTGCAGCAAATAATTGAAAAAGACAGGTGTAAAGCCTTTAACAAATATATGTTCAGCCACAGCAATAAGCAAGACTTTATATATTTAAATTAAAGTATGAATGAATCTGCCTCCTTTCTGCTCCAAATCCTGTACTAGGAGAATTTGATGTGAAAAAGTGGTACTTAACATAATCTGGATAAAATAAGTGTGTGATTCTAAAAAGTTTGTGGAGGAAAAAGATTTTAGGGGAATTAATTAAAAACCAAGATGATGATCTTTACTTAACATGAATCAGACCAAAAATCTGCCTACTGCAGGGATGAGCAAGTGTTGTTGTAACTTTTAGATGTTGAACTTTAAAAAGACTTTTCTCCATCATTACTAATGTTGGCAGGATCAGCAGGACCCTCATGCAGACATGCCTGAATGAAGAAGAGATCCAAAACAAGGGCAATTAATCTATTTGATAGTTTTTTGTTAGTTATGTAATGTTAAATACATTATTTCAGAATTATTTCCTCAGTGCAGTTTGACAGTTGGAGTAAAAAACCTGTGTGCATCTGTGGTGTACTTTTTGTTGAGCTAGCTTTCTGACTATTATCCCTTACTTGGGAGGTGTCGATTCCACAATAAAGGCTTGCATTTATTGTTTGGTCAGTGTTTGACCAAACTCTTCTGTCAATACAATTGATTATGACTGCATTCTCAGGATAGCAATGTAATTATTTCCTGAGAAACTGTTTTTCTAGCAGCCAAAACCCTAATACCAACTTACTAATAGATAAAACATGTTTAAGCTTTTTATGAATTAGTATTCTACGATGTGGGATCTAGAGCTGATTAAAAAAACATCTAGGGCCTTCATAAATACTGAGAAAAGGAGTAGCACATAAGCACCTTCTCAGTTTGGATTGAACAAACTTGTTCATTTTTTTTATTGAAGCACCCATTTGGTTTTTATATTCATATTGATTAGTCAGAAGTAAGTGAGGACAACATTTTGGAGGTCTCAAAGCATTGAGTCCCGATATTAGGAGATCTTATTATCAGTAAGATAAAGATAAATAAATAAGATAAATACTGACATTGGTTGAGCCTGATATAATGCTGAAAGATTTAAATAACTAAGCTGGGTGATCTGTCATGAAGCTATCATGCTGTAATATATTGCTGGCCTGAATAGTAGAGAGAATTAGTGTAATTCATTTTTATATAAGATAGTGGGAAACAACGATGAGGAAACACTAGGAAGAATTACGGTCGTTAATCAGATCTAAGACGGGAGAGGAAGTTTAAACAAACAAAAATCCTTTCACGTAGACTATGGAATAGGAAAAGGTGTCCAGTTTTTCCATATTTCCCCAGGCCCTGGTGACTGTGACCGTAACAAAGAGCCAGAGTAGCCCTTAGCATATTTAACATATTCTCAGAAGTCTGATATGCAGGAGGTGAAAATTAGAAGTGCTTCAGGATTTATAGAAATAAAAGACATGATGTCAGAAGAAGTTAAACTTTCTCGCTTTTAAAATCAGTCACATTTCTGTATTGGGAAACAAGTAGGTTGGTGTCGCTGTAGCACGTGCATCCTACAGAAGAAGGACAAACCAGCAGTCTTGCTACTAATGAGGTTCATAGCATAAGGAGATATTCTCATTTTCAGTGCAGGGAAATTTTATGAAGACTTGGCTTCATCTGTAAATCTGGTCTTGTTTTCATGCAATCTAACTGCATTTTAACCAGCTTTTTTCCTTTCCTTTTTTTCTCTCTTTGCATGCTTTATTTCTTTTGTTTGAATATTAGGAGCAAAAACGTATAGATGGCACCACCCGTGAGGTGAAAAAGGTTAGAAAAGCCAGGAACAGACGCCAGGAGTGGAATATGATGGCATATGACAAAGAGCTTAGACCTGACAACAGGTTGTCTCAAAGTGTGTACCATGGAGCATCTTCCGAGGGATCACTGTCCCCAGATACTAGGTCTGTTTACAGCAAAGCTGTTTGTTATACCACAGTTGTATGTTCAGAAATACTGAGTGGAGTTAGGTGTTTTTACAGGATGGGAGTAGTTAGACAAAACATACGATGCATGTTTTTAAGTTCTTTTCGAAATTATCTTAAAGCATAAATAACGTAACAAATTCTGTAATGTTTTTTTTCTTCCTCAGCTTCACAGGAGCGTTTTGCCATCATAATGTTATGCGCTGCAGTGAAAGAAGTGTTTGCCGCATGCTTTATATTTGGTCTTGAGTAGCTGTAGTTAAAAAAGCATTTAAATCTGCCTCTAGTAGATAATGTCAGTACCTCTTTCTTAGTGTCTAGTCTGTTGTTTTGTGCACTGCTGATAGCTTAATAAATATTTTTCTGGGATCTATTCAGTTCAGCATACTTCTGCCTCCAACAGAATGCTTTAATGGGAGAAGAGTTCAGCTTTATTGATGTTACATTAGTCTAAAGAGCAAGCTACAAAACCAGATGCAGTGTTACTGCTTGAAATACGGAAATCTCTGCTTAGAGACACCCAGCAGAATTCATCTTCATTGACTGAGATTCCCCTTGAGCTCAGCGGGAGGTACCTTTTCTAGGTGTGCATGGAAATCTGACTTTTTTCACTAAGCTGGTCTCACCAGAGTATTTTCCCACTTATTTTATTTCCTCTGTCTGTTGTGATTAAGTGCTAGCAGTAAAGTTAGAAAGAAATAGAGTCCACTGGAAAAAGCCTGTAACAATTTAATGTTTAAATTGTTGAATGTCTAGGCTGAGGAAGCAGCAGCACAAAAGTGTGGGCTGATACCTTTAGTCTACTGTCCAGTGGAGACTAATTAAAACAAAATCTGCTTAGGACTTGGCAGATATAATGTTGTGGTCTTTGTGAAGAGTAATCAACTTGTAATTGAAATATGAAATTTAAAACAACATTGGTATTGCTGTTTTAATAATGGATTCAGAATCCCTCTCTGTCTAAAAGCTTTTGTCTTTTTTTTTTTTTTTTTACAGTTTCTAATGCAAAACCCTTGTCTCCTGTTAGTCTTAATGAAACATTGCAGACTGACAATACTTTCCATAGGTTGATCTAGTAAAAGATGTGAATTTTTTTCATCAGGAGTTCTGTTTCACACATTTTGTATGTTTTTTTTAGCCTTAACACCTTGCTTCCAGGATTCCCGAGTTTAAATCAGGATTGTATTGAAGTGATTTGTTTTTTATTTTCCATCAGTATCAATATGTATTTGACTGTTTGCAAATATCTATAGTACTTGCCATGTGTAGGACATTTTTAAGCAGAAATTGTAGGATGCATCTCTATGTTGCATTTAGATGTTGTTGTATGACAGGTATCTTGTACTTATATAAGCATTTCAGATTTTTTCAATTTATGGAGTTCTTTACATTTCAGTGAATCTAGTATCAGACATGGAATCCTGAAATCTGTTTTATATGCATGAAGGGTTCATTTGGGGAATGGTAGTGAGGTGGAGAGAAGGTTTTCTATTTTTTCATCTCGGAGTAGTCTTAAGCTATAAAAACCCCCATACATGTAGAAATAAGTACTGATGCCAGAGACATTCTTATGCTGACAGCAACTGCATGAGCAGTGTTGTGTAAGTAAGGTCTCGAAGAAGTGTATTTGGTTATATTGTCGTTCTGTTTCTAATGCCAAACTGAAAAAAATCTCTCGTGTCTTCTCATTTGCTAACTGTAAGACTTACACATTGAATATTGACATTCAAATGTTTCTACTGTGGCCATTTACCATGTATTTGTTATACTTATTGTACTTTAGAGAGAGAAACACAAGCTGAATCCAAACAGAAACCAGCAAATTAATGTGAGAAAAGTAAGAACAAGAAAAGAAGAGTGGGAGAGAAGGAAAATGGGCATTGAGTTCATGAGTGACGCAAAGAAAATGGAACAGGCAGGAAGCATGAAAGAGGACAAAATGCCCAAAGGGTTTGTTATTTCATTTTACTCAAAGCCCTGGCTTTTTGTTGCTTACCTTGCTTCCAGTCTTATAGATAAGTGCATCAGTTTACTGTGCTCACTAAAAGCCAGGCTGCACCATTGTTCATTACTAAAACAACTATTTACAGTAATGGGACGAAGAGATCCTTTTGCTCCCTCTCTTGGGCTTATTTGACAGAGCATCCTAGACTTTGTATCTTTATGAACTCTCTGCTCAACTAATATTTACATTTCCCAGTTTCTCTAAGCCTTTCCAACAAAATTAATTGTGCAAACAAAAGAAAAAGCATCTTCTAACTTTTGAAATTTGGGGTTCTCTGCACTGGTAAAATATATTTTTCTGCATAATTGCAAATGCTTGTAGTCTTGCTTTCCTTTTTCTGCTGCCATTGTTAACTTGAGGCAGGTCTGGTAAGTATAATCACTTCAAACAACAGACTGTCAAAATCATTGACAAAAACAATACGCTTCCTTCTGGCTACTAAAGTTCTTGTGCTTTCTATGGACTTAAAATGGAGTGGTGTTTGATAATCAGAGTCCTGTTCCAGCAAGAAAAATAATGCTGATTGCATTCCTTTTAGTTTTTTTTCTCAGTTATTTAGATAATGCCCTGTTACTCTCACATAATCTGTTTTTCTGCATCCATTTACTTTAATTTTAGGTCCCATGCATCTGATGTTACAGATTATTCTTATCCTGCTACTCCGAATCATTCCCTCCATCAGCAGATAGCAATGCCTTCATATGGAGCAGGAGATGGTCCACAGTACATGGCAGCATCCCAAAGCCATGAGCATGAATACAGACCACCTTCCACCACTGTACGACATGCTACTTTAAACAGACCTCAGCAACCACCTCCACCTCCACCCCAGCCTTCAGATGGCCAGCATAGCTCAGTGCCTGTGGTACCAGCAGAATATGGGTAAATCTCCTGATTTATTCTAGTGGATTCTTGACAAAACTAGAGGGATGCATGTTTTGCATAACCGTCATAATGTGTAACGTATCACACAAAAAGATCCCAAATACATTAGTTACTTCCTTGGGCAGGACAGAAAAAATTGGTATAATTTCTATGTGTGAACTGAATTTAAATGAAATAGTGAAAGTAAAAATAATGAACTGCGTATTGAATGTGGTGAAATCAATATGCTTGTAAAATATTAAGGGTTCCTAATACAGTATTAAAAAGGGGATCATTTTTCTTGAAAGTGGAAAATAGTTACAACATAATTTGATTAATACTTTAAACTTCAGGAAATGCATAGAAAAAGTATTGCTCATTGTGATTAATGTGGAGTCTTGCATCCCTGAAATGACTTTTTAAAGGAGCTTGGGCTAGAACAGGAAGGGCTCTCCTCAGATATAGTCAAATTCCCTACTGCTGCAGGACAAATGCCACTCCATAATTCAAGACAGGAATTTATCAACCTCCTGTGTAGGTATTTTGCCTGAATGCATTCTGAAGGAAGGCTTGCTCCAGAGTACTGGCTCTCCAATAGCAAGAAAACATCTGTTTTCTAACCAGTCTGTGTCTCTTCTTTAGTGTAATTACCTTAAACTTTCAAGCTGTAACCCCAAGGAAGTTGTAGTCATTCTTGCCTTTGTCGTTCTAAACTGGGCAAGCCAAGGATGGTCAGCCTTGCTTGATGCATCCTGGGATAGCATTTGCCTGATTCATGACAGTATCGTGTTGCAGATGACTCAGTTATGAGTGACTGCTTCAACCTGCCCTTTCTCTGTTATTTCCAGTGTGTAACACATTATTGTGCTTAGTCCCCAGGTCCATGACCATTGTCAGAGTATTGCAATTGTCATGAACATTGACATGTCACTGAATGTCATCAGTCACTTTCCTTCCACTCCTGTCTCCTATATCTAATTCTTTGCCTACTTCATAGCTCTTATAACCTCATTTTTTTTTCCTGCTTAAGATTACTTTTCATGACATGTTAACAAGAAAAGTAGCTCTTCCCTGTACCTCCTGTTTAAAGTATCAATCAGTTGTATCAATTTAATTAAATGGTATTTAAATTGATAAACCTGACTGAAGAAGCACATGAGACACATGATATACCTTTGGGTAAATCTTTCCATTCATACTTTCCATAGCTCTCTATGTCTGAGTTCTCTATTATCTCTTAATATTTGTATAACATTTGGTCTTCTATTGGATTGATACATGTAGTTTGCAGTTTTCTTGGTCCCTTCATCATAGACCTTGTACTTAATAGTCCCACAAAGTAACTGTTTAGTAACAAACACTTTATACTGAACTAGGCAGGAGAATAAAGATAAAAAGCTCACTTTGTAGAATGCTGAAAGGATGCTGTCTTTAAAGACATCTGTCTTAAATCTTAATATATTACCAGTACTTGACAGTTCATATGTTTATAATCACCTGCATATTTAATTCACTGGTTTAAATTCTTTTTGATTTTTGTTTTAGCTGAGGTTGGATGAGAGCAGGTTAAGAGGTGATGATTCTCCAAGTCCTAACTTTCAATGCATTAAATGTTTTTGTTCTGTTTTATATAGGATGCTTCCAGCTCAGATGGTGGATTATTACAACCCTACAGGTCCTCCCCCTCCTCCTCCTCCCCCTATGATTCCTTCAGCACAAACTGCATTTGTTAGTCCCCTTCAGCTTCCTGTGCCACCTTCCCACTCTGGACTGGTGACTGGCTCTACATATGCAGCTGCTCATCCTCCTCCTTCTAGTGGGCTTGTTGTCACTGCTCCTCCTCCTCCCGGCCCACCTCCTCCCCCTCCAGGCCCTCCTGCTGCAGGTGCATCCCTCTCTTCCTCCCCAATGCACGTTCCTCCGGCGTCGGAGGCAAAGCGCCATGAACCTGCCCAGGCACCGATAAGCGATGCACGGAGCGATCTCCTTGCTGCCATTAGAATGGGTAAGTGGACGCTCAGCTCTAGGTATTACTTTTTTTCAACGAAAGCGCTGTGTTTTCCACGGATAGGAGTTCATGGCTTCTTCTGCCAGCTGAGCACAGTGTCATTAGCCACAGGTACCACACACGTGTTCTGACATTTGTCAGCCATGACTTTGAATCTTTTTCTAATGCCTGAAGATGTACAGCTTTGTCAAGCATGCTCCGCATGTTTGTGTGGATGTAATAAAAACAGCACTTGTGTTCCTTATGTAAAGTACCAGTAGATGTACCTGACTTTTGCTTCTGTTTAGAAGAACTGAGTTACCCAACACCAGGCTTCAGCCCACTGATTTTTAACCAGTGATTCTTCCTCACTTTGCTTAACAATATGGAGCTGTAGGTCTAATGGTATTTCCACATACAATGATGAAAACTTTCATCTTCAGATCAAAAGGATCTGTATAGTCTTGAATATTTATCCTTAACATATTTATGGCAGTTTTAGAAGTCCAGAAGCATTCAGTCTCTGAGAATGGATTCCGATCTCTCTCTTTTTTCTCTCGGAATTCCTGCTCAGGGAGTCTCTCCTTAATCAACAGTTTCTGTTTTTTCCCCTCCTTCTTCCAGAGTGTATTGTTATAATACAACAAACTCACCAATAACAATATGAAACCTAAAATCTCTTGCATTGGAAACTTTGTCTTAGAGTAATTGTCTCTACAGGAATTCAGCTGAAGAAGGTGCAGGAGCAACGTGAGCAAGAAGCCAAGCGCGAGCCTGTCGGCAATGATGTGGCAACCATCCTTTCGAGGCGCATTGCGGTGGAATACAGCGATTCCGATGACGATTCAGAGTTTGATGAGAACGACTGGTCAGACTGAATATGGTCCAAGCCCAGTGGCAACTACATTAAATACTTGGCTTCAGTGGTTGCAAGATGTAAAGCAGGATGTTGACATGTATTAAGGCTAGTGATGGAAGTGCTAAAATTGAATTGGTATTATTCAGAATGCTGTAGCTTAGCAACTCTGGTAATAATGATGTGATTATGCTTATGCAGATCAGAAACTTGTCTTACTTTCAGTATTTACTGCATAATACTTAAGTGCCACTAAATGTAGCAACTCATGTGCTGCGTGCAAAATATGCTGCAGTTGTTGCACTGTTACAGAACCAGCATTTTATTTTACTTTCCTGATCTTGAAGGGATAAAATATATTTTTTTGACTTTACATCTTATTCTTTTAATTATGTAAGAAACTTAGGTACTTGTGAATTGGTCTGGTTGTTAGTCTTTGAGGGCAGTTAACTATATGACTGAGTGAAGTGTTAGGTTCCATAAATGTGACTTTTAGCTTTTTTATTAGGTACTAATTATGCCCACCTTAGTCTATTTTTAACCACTTCTGGGCTTAAGTTTTTATGCATAAAGAATTGATTTTATATTATCTTCCTTTTTATCTTAAACATGTAGCAGATGATGAAATGTATACTTTGAAAAAGGAATCCACATGGTCCAAGAAGAACATTTGGCGAGCAGACTGGATATGTCTGTAACAGTACCAGCTTTAGGTTGCTGGCTGCTTGTTGAGAAGAGTGTTGGGGAGGGGTATCTCTGCTTGGTAGCAGATGCATGTCCGTGTTACAAATAAAAGTTAAAATACCTGTAGAGCTTTTTCAGTTTTATGGTAGAGATGACGTGGATGCAGGATAGACCTGATTGAAACAACATGGTTATTGGAGTGTAGAAATGCTACTGTTCTTACGAAGATTGGAACAGTCTGGATCTAGCAATCAGATACATTTCACAAGTATTAAACTTGGTCTTTATGCCTGTAGGTATAAATATGTGTAAATAAGTTCTGTTGTTGTTGATTTGTACATGTGTAGTCATGTAGCACATTTACTGAGAACTCTTACGTTGAATGTATTTCTTAGTACATCCCATGGATAAAACATTGGCAGTTAAAGCAGTTTTAATGGCTTTTGGGGTACTATGCCACATACATACACTTTTTTTACTCCTTCCCTAGGGATAGTTGCTGCCATAAAGTCTGCTTTGGCTGTCTTTGTTTTCTTTAAAAATAATTCCTTTTTTTTTTTCCCCCCCGCAGTACAGTATTAAAATTTTTTTTGTTTGTTTTGTTTTTGCTCTCTTCTGGACTGAGAATCAGGCTGCTGCTTTGCCTAATGAGGCTTTAAAAAATTATTCATAGCAGGGGAATAGCTCTTTCCTTACCAGATTACAGTTTTAATCTTTGTAACGGAAGTCTGTGTAATTCCAGGTTTAAAATTTGGTAAAGCTCCTTTGTTCTTTGAGGCCCTATCTGTTCTTAAAAAAAAGTATGTAAAATAAAGAGAAATGGAAGGTGATTATCTAACCTGTGTTTACACCATTAACAGTTTTAGTCCTGAGAATGTAACAGTCTAACACGATGTTTGCATGCAAACTGTTGGCTACTGCATTGCTGTTTAATCTATGTATGACTTTACAATCCGTGGCAGCTGCCTTTATGGTAGGGGGTTAAGATGCTGCCTCAGTTTGGTGTTTATCAAAAAGTACGACCAATCTCTCCATAGTGGTGAGCAACCACAGCTCTTGGTAATCAGGGGCAGCTGAGGGTATTCATCTCCATCCCAGTTTGAGCTGGTTTTGTCTTTGCCTTAAAATGCCGAGCTAAATTCTGCTTTATTTTGTGTCCTGGAGTCTGAGGCCTGTGTGTCCACCAGAGAGGGCAAAATTTAGGTAGTAGCCTGATGGTGGTTTTCATCACTGTATGAGAGATGGCTTGTCCTTACCATAGTGGTGTGCTTGCAAAATAATTCTTTGGATGGGTAGTGCAACTGGGACCTCAGTGTTACATCACTATGTAGGTTGTGACAGTACTCTCTATTCTTTTGATACATGCTGAAATGAAACGTCTCAGCAGAAAATTCTTACCAATCTCCTGAAATTTGATACAACAGAAGATATATTTTATGAGCACAAAAGTTGAGTGTGTCTGAAATTTTGTAATTTGTGCTTATTTTAAATAATAAGCATTTAACAAGCAATCAGTTGTGACCAGTTAAGATAGTGTAGATTTTTCAGTCATAGTAGCCAACCTGTTTTTCTGAACCTGCAATGTTGTCATTTTCCTTTTGGTATTTTATGAACAAAATGTGAATTGAATTTAGTGATGTAAACATGATTCTAGGCTGTTTTTATCAGTTTTATCATACTTTGGGTTGTGGATAAGTAACAAATGTTAATAAAATCTCACTTTTGAGCCTGTCTTTCCTTAGATTAGTAAGATTTTGCTGTTAACTTATTGATAAGTAACAGAAATGAAAATGTAAGGCTTCCAAATGCTGTCTGTGATCCCAGGGAACCATGATGTTCCTGGGATGAAGGCTGGAGTCCACAAAACCAGGTTCCCTTGATGTTCTGCTGCTTCTTCAAACATGTGTACGTTTTGCTTTTGCAGCCTTGATTCAAGCTCCAAGTTCAAGTTCTTGGTTGGTCTAAATAGGCATTAATTTCCTTACAGGTAGCTTTAGGGGTTTTTTTCAGTGAAATGCATTGAACATCAGCTTTGCTTCCTGAAAGAACAAGGCAGAAAATATAAGTTTTATTAGCAAGTCTCTTTCCCCACTTTCCCAGTAAGAAGGGTCTTTGTAGGTCAATGATGCCAAGCACAATACTGTAAAATGCAAACCCATGTCTGCCTACTAGAAAAAATATTTTTAATTTAATCTTTTAATTGTAATCAGATTAAAGCCAGAAGAGGCTTTTCATCCTCCTGGAAAGAACTTACATAAACCAATTGTGTAATACAGTAGCCTAATTGTAAATGAAGCAGATTTGTTTATGCATCTTAGACTCAGTTGTTTCCTGGGAAAATAAATTAATTTTTAGTCCATTCAACCAAAACCTCCAGACCCTCTGGCACTCGGTTCCTCTCTCCAATTTTCCATTTTATGATTTGAACTTAATTCAAGTAACTTAGAGCGAAGACACTGATTCTATGTAGAAACTGAATATACAAGCTTGCTGTTTTTTTGTTTCAAAGGTCCTCTTGGTGTAAAGCATTTCTGACTGCTCATTGATCGGTTGGAGTTAGGACTGATGGTCACTCAGTGTGCTGCTTCTACAGCTCTTGTGGTTGTGTTTGAACATTAAACAATTTACATGGGACTAAACTGAACTGGATTTTTAGGTATTTGAGATTTCTTTTTACCGAGATTAATTGAATAGAGAAGGAAAAAAAATCTTTATTGTAAGAGGGATGCGTGTTGTTGAGAACAAGCTCCAAACTGAGCTCACTTGTGATATGCAGATGGAGTTGAGAGGAAGGGAAATGATTCCTTGGAAAATTGGTTCTTGATGTATTTTTCAGGTATGTTCTCTCTCATGCTGGGCACTGTTTTAATAATGAAGAGATGTTCTCTTCCCCTTGAAAAAAGATACCTAAGGATACAGCAAATATGTAATTTCTAAAATGGTTTAAAATCTCACTATAAACTAAACTGAGTATAAACCTGATAATAATGAAGACTTCATTAGAATCTTATGTCTGGAAGCTGAAGTTGCACAAATTAAATTCTGAGCCGAGGTATTAGTTCCTAGCACAGGAGTAAAATAAATATTAGACCAACTTATCCAGAGATGCTTTTGACAGTGAATTTTTTTTTTTTGTGACATGACATGTTTTTTTTCTTCTGAAAAACCAAATAAACAGAAATTCAGCCTGATGTATTCTGCTTTGGGAAAAGGTTTTTGCCCTGTGGGAGCCTGAATTTTTAATTCTGAGTCTGAGGCATTCCTGACAGGAATGAGTACATATATACATGGACACACACACACAGAAGTCCAAGGATTTTCAGCATGTTGAGGCAGATCTGCATTCAGGTACTCTAAGCATTGTCAGTGATATACAGGGAATTAAAATAAATTAGGATCCCTCCTAGAATCCCTCAGGCCCTTGTGTCAGTCACAGAATAGTCAGGAGAGACTTGAGCTTGTCACTCAACACCCTTCCCAGTTCCCTTGTACTTTAAAGGAAGTGGGGGTACTCCAGACTGTGGGTTCCCCATTGACCATCATCTTTCATTAAAGAGATGAAGAGAAAAAAACAAGTAGAGTGAAAAAAATGTCCTTTAGGTACAAAACTGGAAGAAGCAATTTCATATTTTGCTTTCTCTACTAACATTAGAGGCAAAGAATGTTTTTTCATGTGCTGTCAAGTATCTGTAGGTTTCTCTGGAGAAACATGTTCTCATCTGTGGGTAGCATAGATGTGCACTTTGAATGGAAAGCAGTCTCAGGTTTGGGCTAGGCTTTTCAGCTACATAAGAAAACAACTAGCCCCTAAGATTCTTAGCTAAATATAGTAGTCTCTTTGAGATTAATTCTTACTGCTGCAGATAAATAGAGAACTTCTTATCTGATTAGCCAGAGCAGGGAGGAGTACTATGCCTTCCTCTTGGCAAGGGCTCACATGCAGAGTGATTTGGAGATTAGGGCTGACGGCAACTGTTTTGAGATATCTCAGCAGCTTGTCCTAAATGTGTTGCCTTTCCAAGTCATTTGGCATTTTCAATTGCGTCCTGTTGTACCACGTGAATACTGTCTGCCCTGTTCAGCAGTCACTTCTGTTACCAGTGAAGTGTAGATTAGAGGAAAGGAGGCCTGAGAATCTGACCAAGTTACCCTAGTGCCAGTTAATACTGAGCAGTCTGTCCCCTTTGTCTTTGGCAGCAACTCTAAACGTGAGTCCTACCAGCTACACCAAGGGGCATGGCAGAACTCGTCTGTTTTCTGTGTTCTTGAAAATCAGGTTCTCTCGATAGCTGCTAGTGCTGATGAATTCCTTAGTTAGTTTTCTGAGTCATCCTGATATTAATATTTTATTTCTGTAATGAATTTAATTTCCTAGTCCCCAGTTACCTTTCTCTGACTTGCTGAATGGCCTGTGCCCACTGCTTGTCACCCTTCACAAACTGGATGCAGTCAGCAGCGATTGTAGAAGTGCCCTTGCTCTCCTGAACTCCTTAGCCCAGTCCTGGCTTTCACCTGAAGCCTGTTCCTCTCTGGAGGGACAAGGTTGCATCCTTCTCTCTTGACTCTTATGCTCCTGGTTTTCAATAGGTAGTTTGTATGTTGCCAGCCAAACATCTTCCCATTCCCTCCTTCATCAGGATTTATGGTTTGTTTGGTTGGCCAGCTGTGGTTTCTTTCCCTTGGATAGATTCTTGTTCTGTGACTGAAGTGGTAATGGTGTTAAAAGGGGTGCTGCTTCAGGACACAGGGCTTTAATCCTCCACTGGGGAGGATGATGGTTGTACCAGGATTTTTTTATCATAAGGCTTATCTTAGTGATGAACTCTGAATCTTCCTGAAGTTACTGGTCATTCCAACCATGTGAGGCCTCACCTTAACTTTGCTTGGTTCACTCTTTTGGATTTATTTGTATTTGTTTTCTTCTGTTCTGTTTGGGTGTCCTTCCAAATTTAGCATGCTTCCTAAAACTCTTCTTAGGGTGCCTTCACACAGCTGGCTAAAGTGCTTCTGATTTGCCATTATGTTGTAAACATTATTTCTGTCTTTGAGGAAGAAGGACTCGTGTGTTTCATATTCTCAGAATGATAATCAAAGTAACACTTTCTAGGCTGGCTGTGAAAGTTTCCCCATAAATTTATTTCTATCTGATTTCTATTTATGGCATATTTTGCTCTAACAAAGGTTTAGAAGTTTTGCTTACAAGCAGTTTGGTGGAGTTTTTGGATTGCTGTGAAGAACCTCTGTCTAAGTTCATCAAAATATTTAATCTGCCTGTGACAAGAAAATGTTAAGGTGTGTATTGTGTGCAGGGCCAGTTGCAGTGTGTATATCAAAACAACTGGTGTTCCTCAACAGTTCTTTGGGGCATTAGGGGTTTACTTTAAAATACATAGATCCTGCTGGCTCATTGCTTCTCTCAGTAACCAGTCACTGATTTGCTGTAACTGATGCAAACCACTATTGTTACATTTCACAAGTGTTTTAAGAAAGATAAGCAAGATTGCTGCCTTGTACCCAAATGACTGCCACCAGACAAATGCTTATCTGAAAAAAGTATCCTATTTTTGATCATCCTCTGTGCTCTCTTCAAAACCTTCAGTGACTATCAAGTCAACCCTTGCTTTTTAAATTTTTTAAGAGCCATCTTCATTCTTTAAGTTGACATGGTCTGCCTAGGAAACTGAATTTAGATCTACCACATTTTAAGTAAAGGATGCTCCATTCCTCTCCTGTGGTGCCCCTCCTGACCTATATTCCTTGCTATGTTTCTAGAACTTTTATGAATTATTTATATGGCTTGATAGATTGACTTCCTACTTTGCTGAAAGAGATAAGAAATCCTTACTTTAGGGATTTTCAAACCTAGTTAAAATATACCAAATGGTGAGGCAGCTGCCAACAGCTAGAATTATTTGATATAGGAGATGTGGGAGTTGTCTAGCTATAATATGGCTTCTTACTTACTGCATTAGCAGAGTAAAAGCATTTAAGTATGGATGCCTCACTTAAATGGGGAAAATAACACCACAGGTCTGTGGCATTCTTTTGTCTTCTCAATGGGAGATAGGAAAATAAAGATTTTTAGAACAGAGATGAGGAAGAAGAGAAAGGTCAAGACACTTTCTGTTCTAAACAACAGGAGAAAATGTTTCAGTGAATAATTGATGATACTTCTCTTTGTTTTATCTCCATACAGAAGCCTCCAAATGGTGAGGCTAAGCTTTAGCCTTCTCCCTGAAGATCACCTTCCCTATTTTATTCTCCTCATCTTATCAGCTGCAGTATGCCATGACCTTTCTCTTCCATTCAGCCATCTGCCTGCTTCAGCCTTTATTTCCTTCATCAGATGAGACATGAGGGTACAAATGACACTGGTGGCGCTGTTGGCCTCAAAACCTGATAAATAGACTTAAGCTGACATTTTAAATAGTAAACAGGTCTTTTTTAAAATTTGTGAATGTAAGAATTACTAAAGGAGTCTGGTGAACTGGTAATGTTTTCTGCTCAGAAGGCAAACCATGAAATACTCAGGGTGGTAGGATATATAAGGAATATGTGGGTAAGGCACACTTCTAAAGTGCAGCTCTATTTTAAGGCTTCCAGATGTGAGCTTTGCACAATTGCTGTAATTACCAGCCTGCTGCAGGTATGACTTCTCTCTGGGTTTTGGGCAGCAACCATTTATTCTCACCCAACTGTCTGAATGCTAACCAGGGGTATCAGTGCTGTAGAAAGGATGTAGAAAAGTTTGTTGACTATGATAAGAAATATATGTGAAATGAGATGGAGAGGCAGTGGGATGGAAAGAGCAAAATTTCCCTCTGAGAACATCAGTGGCCTTGGCAAGACAGAATTGAAGATACAGGAGGCACCATTAATTTCCTAGCACAGAAGTTAAAGGAAATATAGTAGGACTTAAAAGTTCCAGGTCTTGAGATACATGACATGGGAACTGTCTCATCTCATCAGTTTTAATGCCTCATTTTTTTCCATTTGGGGCTCAAACTAGGGGCATACAGGCAAGTAGAGTCTCTGGTAGCGTTACCTTCCTTTCACTGGAACTGCCTTGAGATTCATGGATGATGAGGTATCTACTGTAAATAGGCAAAACTGCAGCATAAACATCCATGACATCAGCTAGCTGGTCAGACTGTGTCTGTGCTACTCAGATGTGGGACTCAAAGGGAGTGAGTCTGGAGAGCAGGGCACAGTGGGTGCTCGTAAGCACTAGTGGGGCTTCAGGAATTCTGCTTCATGCAAACTAAGTGCTGCTGCAGTGACAACAGGTCTCCTGCCGAGCTGCACTTGGGAGGAACCAAATTCATGTGCTACTCCATGATGGGAGTTACAGCGTGGTGAGAGAGAGTGAG